CCTTCCCTACCCTTCACCACCTTCCCTACCCTTCACCACCTTCCCTACCCTTCACCACCTTCCCTACCCTTCACCACCTTCCCTACCCTTCACCACCTTCCCTACCCTTCCCCACCTTCCCTACCCTTCACCACCTTCCCTACCCTTCACCACCTTCCCTACCCTTCACCACCTTCCCTACCCTTCACCACCTTCCCTACCCTTCACCACCTTCCCTACCTTTCACCACCTTCCCTACCCTTCACCACCTTCCCTACCCTTCACCACCTTCCCTACCCTTCACCACCTTCCCTACCCTTCACCACCTCCCTACCCTTCACCACCTTCCCTACCCTTCCACAACGTTCCGACCAAGTTTTAAACACCACCCTAACCAGTTATACCCACCTTCCCTACCCTTCACCACCCAATACCCTCATCACCACCTCCCTACCCTTCACCACCTTCCCTACCCTTCACCCACCACCTTCCCTACCCTTCACCACCTTCCCTACCCTTCACCACCTTCCCTACCCTTCACCCACCTTCCCTACCCTTCACCACCTTCCCTACCCTTCACCACCTTCCCTACCCTTCACCACCACTTCCCTACCCTTCACCACCTTCCCTACCCTTCACCACCTTCCCCTACCCTTCACCACCTTCCCTACCCTTCACCACCTTCCCTACCCTTCACCACCTTCCCTACCCTTCACCACCTTCCCTACCCTTCACCACCTTCCCTCCCCTTCACCACCCCCTTCCCTTCCCTTCACTACCACCTTCCCTACCCTTCAGCACCACCATCCCCTACCCTTCACCACCATTTTCCCAACCCTTCACTACCTTCCCTACCCTTCACCACCTTCCCTACCCTTCTCCAACTTCACAACCCTTCACCACGTTCCCTTCTCTTCACCACCTTCCTTACGCTTGACCACCTTCCCTACCCTTCACCACCTTCCATACCCTTCATCACCTTCCCTACCCTTCATCACCTTCCCTACCCTTCACCACCTTCCCTACCCTTCACCACCTTCCCTACCCTTCACCACCTTCCCTTCACCCTTCACCACCTTCCCTACCCTTCACCACCTTCCCTACCCTTCACCACCTTCCCTACCCTTCACCACCTTCCCTACCCTTCACCACCTTCCCTACCCTTCACCACCTTCCCTACCCTTCACCACCTTCCCTACCCTTCACCACCTTCCCTACCCTTCACCACCTTCCCTACCCTTCACCACCTTCCCTACCCTTCACCACCTTCCCTACCCTTCACCACCTTCCCTACCCTTCACCACCTTCCCTACCCTTCACCACCTTCCCTACCCTTCACCACCTTCCCTACCCTTCACCACCTTCCCTACCCTTCACCACCTTCCCTACCCTTCACCACCTTCCCTACCCTTCACCACCTTCCCTACCCTTCACCACCTTCCCTACCCTTCACCACCTTCCCTACCCTTCACCACCTTCCCTACCCTTCACCACCTTCCCTACCCTTCACCACCTTCCTACCCTTCACCACCTTCCCTACCCTTCACCACCTTCCCTACCCTTCACCACCTTCCCTACCCTTCACCACCTTCCCTACCCTTCACCACCTTCCCTACCCTTCACCACCTTCCCTACCCTTCACCACCTTCCCTACCCTTCACCACCTTCCCTACCCTTCACCACCTTCCCTACCCTTCACCACCTTCCCTACCCTTCACCACCTTCCCTACCCTTCACCACCTTCCCTACCCTTCACCACCTTCCCTACCCTTCACCACCTTCCCTACCCTTCACCACCTTCCCTACCCTTCACCACCTTCCCTACCCTTCACCACCTTCCCTACCCTTCACCACCTTCCCTACCCTTCACCACCTTCCCTACCCTTCACCACCTTCCCTACCCTTCACCACCTTCCCTACCCTTCACCACCTTCCCTACCCTTCACCACCTTCCCTACCCTTCACCACCTTCCCTACCCTTCACCACCTTCCCTACCCTTCACCACCTTCCCTACCCTTCACCACCTTCCCTACCCTTCACCCCCTTCCCTACCCTTCACCACCTTCCCTACCCTTCACCACCTTCCCTACCCTTCACCACCTTCCCTACCCTTCACCACCTTCCCTACCCTTCACCACCTTCCCTACCCTTCACCACCTTCCCTACCCTTCACCACCTTCCCTACCCTTCACCACCTTCCCTACCCTTCACCACCTTCCCTTCCCTACCCTTTCACCACCTTCCCTACCCTTCACCACCTTCCCTACCCTTCACCACCTTCCCTACCCTTCACCACCTTCCCTACCCTTCACCACCTTCCCTACCCTTCACCACCTTCCCTACCCTTCACCACCTTCCCTACCCTTCACCACCTTCCCTACCCTTCACCACCTTCCCTACCCTTCACCACCTTCCCTACCCTTCACCACCTTCCCTACCCTTCACCACCTTCCCTACCCTTCACCACCTTCCCTACCCTTCACCACCTTCCCTACCCTTCACCACCTTCCCTACCCTTCACCACCTTCCCTACCCTTCACCACCTTCCCTACCCTTCACCACCTTCCCTACCCTTCACCACCTTCCCTACCCTTCACCACCTTCCCTACCCTTCACCACCTTCCCTACCCTTCACCACCTTCCCTACCCTTCACCACCTTCCCTACCCTTCACCACCTTCCCCCTTCACCCTTCACCCACCTTCCCTACCCTTCACCACCTTCCCTACCCTTCACCACCTTCCCTACCCTTCACCACCTTCCCTACCCTTCACCACCTTCCCTACCCTTCACCACCTTCCCTACCCTTCACCACCTTCCCTACCCTTCACCACCTTCCCTACCCTTCACCACCTTCCCTACCCTTCACCACCTTCCCTACCCTTCACACCACCTTCCCTACCCTTCACCACCTTCCCTACCCTTCACCCTTCACCTTCCCTACCCTTCACCACCTTCCCTACCCTTCACCACCTTCCCTACCCTTCACCACCTTCCCTACCCTTCACCACCTTCCCTACCCTTCACCACCTTCCCTACCCTTCACCACCTTCCCTACCCTTCACCACCTTCCCTACCCTTCACCACCTTCCCTACCCTTCACCACCTTCCCTACCCTTCACCACCTTCCCTACCCTTCACCACCTTCCCTACCCTTCACCACCTTCCCTACCCTTCACCACCTTCCCTACCCTTCACCACCTTCCCTACCCTTCACCACCTTCCCTACCCTTCACCACCTTCCCTACCCTTCACCACCTTCCCTACCCTTCACCACCTTCCCTACCCTTCACCACCTTCCCTACCCTTCACCACCTTCCCTACCCTTCACCACCTTCCCTACCCTTCACCACCTTCCCTACCCTTCACCACCTTCCCTACCCTTCACCACCTTCCCTACCCTTCACCACCTTCCCTACCCTTCACCACCTTCCCTACCCTTCACCACCTTCCCTACCCTTCACCACCTTCCCTACCCTTCACCACCTTCCCTACCCTTCACCACCTTCCCTACCCTTCACCACCTTCCCTACCCTTCACCACCTTCCCTACCCTTCACCACCTTCCCTACCCTTCACCACCTTCCCTACCCTTCACCACCTTCCCTACCCTTCACCACCTTCCCTACCCCTTCACCACCTTCCCTACCCTTCACCACCTTCCCTCCCTTCACCCCTTCACCACCCTTCACCACCTTCCCTACCCTTCACCCACCTTCCCTACCCTTCACCACCTTCCCTACCCTTCACCACCTTCCCTACCCTTCACCACCTTCCCTACCCTTCACCACCTTCCCTACCCTTCACCACCTTCCCTACCCTTCACCACCTTCCCTACCCTTCACCACCTTCCCTACCCTTCACCACCTTCCCTACCCTTCACCACCTTCCCTACCCTTCACCACCTTCCCTACCCTTCACCACCTTCCCTACCCTTCACCACCTTCCCTACCCTTCACCACCTTCCCTTCCCTTCACCACCTTCCCTACCCTTCACCACCTTCCCTACCCTTCACCACCTTCCCTACCCTTCACCACCT